TGCCTGATCTTGTCGACTGGCTGCTTGGGCCTTTTGTGTTTTATCAGTCCTGTCTGCCCAGAGGCTCCCCTCCTGCTTTCTTACACCTCTTCATCTATGGTAGCCTCCCTCTCACAGGGGACTGGACCCCTTTGCTCACTCACCTGTCTGACATGGCGATCTGCTCCAGCATTGCAGAGCCAGTGTTCGTCTTCCAGTTCCCCGAAATTGATGTCCTCCTGCAACAAGGTCCCGCCAGGGTAGGACAGGCCATGAGCCACACCAGCAATGGGAGGGCATGAAACCTTCCAGAACCGAAGCTCACAGTTCCCTAACCGCTTTTCCCATAAAGAGCCTGAAGTCTGTCTGTGGAGCTTACAGCCCCACGGCCTCAGCCAAACTCCCACCTGTGAGGCCCTCAGCACTCCACAATGGTCCACCTCAGAAGGCCTGGCTCCATGAAGCCTTCTCTGACCTGGTCTTTCAAATGGATGCGTTCTGATCCCATTAGAATTTTGCCTATATCTCACTTAACAATCTAACATTACTTTTTAATTTAGTTACTTGAGCTGAGGCTTAAGCTAAGACTTGTCCATAACTATATAAAACACCTGGGGTATGTACTGTGGCCTGTCCTCCTGCCTACTCACAGTGTCCGGGCATACAAACTGAATCCCACTTCTCCTGAGAGCTCTTGCAGGGTTCTGGTGAATATCTTCCAATGTCTTCTTCATTAGCACTCTCATTCACTCATTCAACAGTTAATTTCTGAGGTTCACTACAATATTAGTCATGTGGCTCTGGGTTAGTCAATTAACCTCTTTGGGCTTCACTCATCTATTCAATGGAAATGATGGCATCAGTCATCAACCTCTGCTATATCCACTGTAGCTGCCCTCTATGAGCATGGGTTAAGAATCAGCTAGTCTTGGACAACATAGGGGGTAGAAGACCAGGTATCTGGTTCTGGATTTGCTCTTGGCTGGCTAGGTGACCATGGGAGAGCTAGTCTTTGAGCCTCTATCTGTTAACACAGGGTTGCCAGAAGGACCGATTAGTACAGGGTTAAGTAAACTGTAAAATACCAAAAATAGATCTTTTAAATCATAAGTTTTCACCAAGATATAGTTAATGGGAAAGGGAATGGCCTAGGGGACAGAAAAGTCCTCTTACACCATGGACAGAGCCCTCCGTGTGCTATCCTCACCATGCAGTACTATTTGGAGAGTAGTTGTGCCAGTTCCCATAAATGTCCTCCCCAGAGATCTGACTTCAGGCACTGAGAAATATTTATATGGAGGGGGCGACAACAACCATCTACTTGGACAGTACTGGCTGCTTTCTATAGTGCCTCTTCTCCAAACCCCTCATAATAGCCTCACTTCGAACTCCCTGTTCTGAGTAGGCTGGAGTTCTTGCTCTGCTTTATAGACAAGAAGATTCAGACTCAGAAAGGCTGGATGACTTGTCCAAGACTGCATATTCAGTCACAGCAGATGGGAGATAAAAATCCAGGAAACTTGATTCCCTGTGTGATGTGCTTTTCCCTGCCACCACTACCAAGTTCAGAACAAAGCAAATAAATAAATAGCTGAGTAGCTGGCAAAACCTGAGTAGAAACTCAGAGACAAGAAAATCACAATAAATGTAACTGTCTTCCTAAGCTTATGGTTTACTAAGGTGTCCCTGTAAGCAACCTCCTCAAGACAGGGACAGAGAGACACTCACTTTCAAGTTCCCAGCATAGAGCCATGACACATAACAGGGTCTTGGAAACTCTGAGTAAATAATAATATATCTCTTATATTTTTATTATATTTTAAAGTTTGCAAAATTCTGTAAGACTTTACATCTCAGTTTACAATGGGACATACGACATAGATCCTTAAGGGGCCCCCTAAAGTATGGGAGCAGACGTGATACCGAGAGGCCACTCAGTGACAGCTCATCTGTGGACTTGCAGGTCATGTGACCTCCGTTATGGCCTACTGAGATTGGAGGCCGAACCAGCACCTTCTTTTCACTAAACATGGATGTTTTTCGTTTTGCAAAAACAAAGAAACAAAAGGAAATGCCATCTAAAGTTTCTCTGGCTTTCCACCCTCCATCGATTTGGGGGATTTTTCTTTTAATTCTAATGAGGGACATTTTTAACTTTTCATTCTGCCATATGGATAGAGTTTTGTGGGGAAGTCATCTACTCTTACAACCACTAGACTTAGGGCTGGATATTTGCATTTGGAGTTTAACTTTACCCATTTTTTGGTAGTCTGTTGAAGCACAGGATTCCTTTCAATGTTTAAAACATATAAAACATGCAAGTGCATGAAGTATATAAGATCACAAAGATACCCAGTTAGAGTTATCAAAAATATTTTAAAAACACATTTTGATTAGTCAAAGATGTGTTTCTTTAAATAATGTGATACAGAGGCAGGTCTAATAACTATCATGAGCTTTACATAGGGATGACAGTAACTGGTACTCAGGTCTGTCATAACTGTAGTGTGATACACGAGAATCATGATCACCTTTGGTGATAAAGTCCTATGTACTGCTACTACTATTGTCTGTAGATTTTTGTTTATATCTGAAGAGAGCTAGTGAAATTAATACTAATTTTATTTCTCATCTTAGTTTACAGACCCCCTCTCCCTTGACTTCAAAAGATCCCAGGTTAGGAGTTCCAGACCTAAGTGGCATGCTCTCTCTGTAACCTGCCTTATGGGCCTGGTGAGGTTCGACTGAGAGCTGGTGGCTGAGATGAACAAAGAGCATCTGCTGGGACGCTACCCCTCCCCACTTACATGTAAGCCTTGTAATTGCCGCCAATCTTCTGGACTCGGATGTCATACTTGGCGTCAATGAAGGGCTCTGCTGTGGCGTAGGTCTGAGTGAGGGCCACCACACTAGCAATGTCCTGGAAGTCGTAGTGGTTTTCCACTTTGACCTAATGTCCAGAGGAAGAAAGGGAGATCTTAGTCAAAAGGCCCTGAAGCCTTCAAACCCATCTGAAAACTGACCTTCTTTATTCCCCCCACAGTATGAGGGATTGAAGCTAGGGCCTCATGCATGCTAGGCAAGTGCTCTACTGAGCTACCTCTCCAGCAAAAATGCCCCTCTGGGACCAACTCCACACCACTGCAGCCCCCCCTGCCTTACCTTGCCCATACCGGAGTGAGCATGGCCAATCTTCACTACCACGGGGAATGTGGGCAGTGTCAGCTGAAGGCAGAGAAGAAAGGAACAAACTGGTCAGGTGTGCCTCTCTCTCTGTGGAATCCTACACATGTTTTTCTTAGGAACACCCTTTGGAGGATCCTTAAAGAACCAGACCAACCTATTTGCTTTACAAATTAAGAAACTGGACTCATAGAATGACAGTGACTTTCCCAAGGTCACACAGCGTGTTAGAGGAAGAACTGTTCCAAACCTTGTTCTTTCTCTCTGTATCTTGCTGCTTCAATCTTCTCTGTTAGACAAACACTGGGCAGGATTGGCTCTCAGCTAAAGATTTATGTAAATTATGTCTTAATTAACCCAAAGCTTTTTTTGAATGCATATTTATTATCATCATGTATCTCTTAGTACCTACCCCTTCAAAAATACTGACCCAGCTGTACTCTTCTTCATTCAGAGTCTTTGCTGCTCATCAACAGCACAAACTAAACCCCAAACATGGCTTAATATGCTAAGGCCTATTTCTGCCCAGCTTGGAGTTTGGAAGAGAGCTCATGTAAGAATTCAATATGTTTACCCTTGGAAAGGGATCCTTATGAAAATGAATGCATTCTTGAAGTAGCCTTATTTTAACAGAGGAGCAATAAAAACTTAAAAGAAAGAATTATCCTCCAAAGACAGGATTTCCAGCTGTTAAAAAAAAAAAGAAAGCCAAATGAAAAGAAATAATGTGGTAGAGTATACAGAGCACTAGAATACACATAAAGATACTTGTTTTCTAGTGCTTTCTGCCACTAACTTTCTATAAATCAATTTGTATCACTGGGTCTCAGCCTTCACACCTGTCAAATGAATGATTGGACTGGATGCTTCTGAGATTCCTCCAAATAATACATTTAGTTCTTATCTTGGTCTAGACTTGGTATGAAGAACCAACCTGGACACCAGCTTGGACCTATCCTGTCAGTCTCTCTCCTTTCAAATGTCACCAATACCATCCAAGTGAAAAGATGTCCCCTGAAGAAGATAATGGCAACCCTGATGAAAAAGTCAGATTCCCATGGAATCTTGGTGTGAGGAGATACTGGGAGAATGTGACCTGAGGATTTCAGCATTCCTGGCTGAAGCCAGTGGAGGCTGGGGGAAAGGGCTTCAAAGGGCTTCAGAAAACATGTACTTCAGGGCTGGGGGTGTAGCCCAGTGGGACAGTGCTTGCCTAGCTTGTGCAAGGCTCCTTGATCCCCAGCACTGAAGAAGAAGGAGAAGGAGAAGGAGAAGGAGAAGAAGAAGATCATGCAAGCCTATATTATGGAGAAAAAACTGAGGTTCTGCAAAGTAAAGGTGACAAAGCTACCTAATGACAGAATCAGAACCCGACCTTCTACTTTCTATAGTTATAATTCAATGGTTCTTCTATTGCGAGCCTTGGACAGTGGCTTGGGTCACAACGAGCCCGAGCCCCTTACTTCTTTGGCCCCCAAGCTTCCCCACGTAGTCTCCAGTGGCTACAACGTGCAATAACAATCAGAATCACCCAGGAACTGGAAACAGGGCTTTGAGGTCCAAACTTTGTCCTAAGTGATGGGACACCTGAGAGAACGGTCCCTTGCTATCTGCAGAGTCTAAGGCTCCTGCTTAGAGAAAGGGTTTCTAAGCACAGGCTGCTTTCTCTGACATCTCTCCCCACCCCCCAGCTGACAGAGCCAAGACACACACACACACCCAAACTTTCTCTGTCCCTTCCCTTACTGTTTGCTGTTGCTTTGGAGCCTCATAAATAGGGCATTGAAAACACTTCCCGCAGCTGAAAGGAGCCCTGAGTAGCTTGTCTCATTCCCAATATGCCGCTCAGCAAGGCTCCGTCCTTCTCCATCACTGTGTGTTTTGCCTGTTGTTGTATTTCTGTCTGCCTCTCTCGACCTCTGCCTGTCTCCTCCTCTCTGAGCCTCTCCTCACTGTCCCTTCGGCCTGAATCACAGCCCCTGGTCTTTCTGCCCTGGGGCGTTCGTCTTGGTTGCTCTTCTCTTTTTGCCCCTGACAGCATCCCTCTCCCAGTGTCTGCCCTCTACTTCCAGAGGCTTAGCTCCTCAGGATCCCCACTAACTCTCACTGAGATGGTTAGTTGGAGGGTCTCGGGTCCTGCCACCACAGGTGGCCTCAAGCCAAAGGAAGGCGGAGCCCATTAGGGCGGGATTGGTTCTATGGTCATCTCATAGAGCCGAGGTGGGGTGGGGGGGTGGAGGGCCGGGCGCGTTCTAAGGCGCCTTGGACCGACTGTTTTGGTCCGACAGACCCCACAGGCTCTGATGGGGCTCTGCGGTGTCGTGCTCTGGAGCCTCTCAGTCGCGACGAGCAGGGCGCTGGTGCTGGGACTGCTGGCTTTGCTGTGGCCCCCGGGGCGGGGCGAGGCGTGCAGCTGCCTCCCAACGCACCCGCAGCAGCATTTCTGCCGCTCGGCGGTTGGTGAGTCCGGCCCAGGCGGTCCACAGCAGGGGCAGTGGTGGTGGGGACTGGCTCTGGGCTGAGCGGTAGACCAGGAGTCTGAGGAAAGGGGAGGAGCTCAACACCCCCCCCCCACCGTTGCCTCCTGCTGAGGCTGATGGGTTGAAAGGGCTGGCACCAGAGCAACCTTGCAAGCACAGAGTCTGATTTGTAAGAAAATAGATTGTCCCGACCTCTACAGCGACGCCCCTCATCCTGACCATACTGCAACCTGGGAGTATCATTAACTGGAGTGTCACCAGAGTGATCCAGCTGGGTTGGGGGTGGGGCCTGTCTCTGTCCAAGCCCATAACTGAGGTTGCCACCGGGTCCCCATCCCAACTCTGATCTTTTGCCCTTTCTCTCCTCTCTATCTGGATGCCCTTTCCCCATACACCCTCGCATTCCTGGCCAACTCCAATTCATCCTTCAAGGGCTAACTCAGGTCCCTTCTTTGGAGGCTTCCTTGCTCCCTGGCTACCACTGTGTCTCTACCAAGTTTGTGCTTCTACTATTCAGTATTATTGGTTTTTATAGGCACATCCTCTGATAGACCAAAAGTTCTGCAGGATGAGGACTCTGTTGCAATCACATCTGTGGGACTTGTGCCCAGTACAAGACCAAGAGGAAGACTTTCATAAACAGTTTTTTTGATTAACGCCCAAATGGCAAGAGATGGGTTTTCTCAGCAGGGTCAGAATATTTATGGATTCAATAAACATTTACTAATATCAACTCTGGGAGAGCTTTGAGGCTCTGAGCTATTTCAACAGATGAGCCTCACAGGAATCCTTCAAGGGGCTCCTTCCTGCTCAACCACTCTGACTCCTCCCCTTTGCCCACAGTTCCCAGAGTTGCAGGAACTAGAGCTCTCCAAATTAACAGGTTGCCCAAAAAGCACAGAGGCTGAGGACCTAAGAATCGCAAAGAGTTTGAACTTGCAGTGACTGCAGAACTCTATCACACCACTCAAAACCCAACACCTGAAATTCTCCAGGGTCCCCAGATCATCCAGATCCCAAATAGATTGCTCCAAGTGCTAATGGTTTTTTCCCTCTTTCTTCTCCCTGTGCAGTGATTCGGGCCAAAGTCACCAGTGAGAAGATAGTGACTGCTAATGAAGACCCTGCTAACCCTAACAAATTGCTCCGGTATGAACTCAAACGGATGAAGGTACATGGGGGCAGGACAGGGCATTTACCCTCATTAGGCTGGTAGAGGGAAATGGGGTCTGTGTTTTGGGAGGGTAGGTTTCAGACAATCTGGTTCAGTGAACTTTTTGTAGACATGGTGAAGTGGGAACTGGTTGGAATGTTGGGGGCAGGGACCACAAAACCCAAGGGCAGTGCAGTGTGGGGGCCTCAGTGGGTCCCACAGCTGCCATTGAGGTACCTTTCCTTCCACTGGAATAAATTTAGATTTAAAAAAAAAAATTTTTTTAAGACAAAGACAACCCAGTAGGAGTCTGTGGACTCTGAGTGCACCAATTCTGAAACTAGACTTTCACTTTATTTTTGAGACTGAGAAAAGAGAAGTTTTTGCCTGTTAATATACAAATTATACTCACTGACCAAATACTGTGTTTTGGGGTTTGTTTTCGAGTTTTTTTGTTTTTTTTTTTTGCAATTGTCTTTCAGATGTTTAAAGGGGTTGAGAAAGTCAAGGAGGTTCGCTATGTCTACACCTCTGTGAACACTTCTCTCTGTGGAACTAGAATAGCAGTCAACAGTAAGAGGCAGTACTTTATAACTGGTAAGTCAAAGACTAGCGACTGGTGGGGATGAAGTTTGTCCCAAGGAGGTCCTGAGGCAGGAGCCAGGGCCTTCCTGGGGCAGCAAGCCAGCCAGGTGGCATTTTATTACACATAAAAACAGTTGTGATAGTGACAGCCTGTTAGTTGGGGGGAGTCTTGGTGACCTCTCATTAAGGCAAGAGTTTTCCTTAGAATGATTTGGCCACTGCTTCCCAGTTTTAAGGAAAGGGTGCTCTCCCAGGCTCGGGCAGTAAGCTCCATTTTGAAACAGTTTTAATTAGCATAAGATTTTTGGCATTTTGACCCAAATCTGTCCCCTGAAACTGCTCCTTATGGGTTATCCCTGCCTTTTGCATGGACCCTAATAAGAGCCTTGAGTCTAACACAGTTCTGTTCCATGAAGTTGGGCACAGGCAAGCCTCCATTCTGAAATGGTTTGGATGGAACAGTTAAAGAACTGTATAAGAATATGACTTCATAAACTAATAAATACAACACTAAGTTATTTTGGAGTTTAAGGAAAGGAGGTATTTGTGTGACTGGGAACAATCAAGGAAGCTTTGCGGTATAAGTGAGATCTAAACTGGCCTCTTTCAAAAGATGAAAAATGGCTGGTCCCAGTGACTTTGGAGGCTGAGGCAGGAGGACTGCAAGTTCAAGGCCAGCTTTAGTAACTGAGATTCTGTCTCAAAAATTTAAAAAAAGGTGGTTTGTAGCTTAGTGGTAGAGTGCTTCTGGATTCAGTCCCCAGTACTTCCCCTCACCAACAAAATAAATAAATAAGGAAGGAAAAAAAAAGAAAGAAAAAGAAAAACTATCTAGGAAGAAAGCAAGGAAAATGAAGAGCATAGCAGGTGGAGAGAACAGGCAGAATTCTACCTTCCATTTATCCATTCAACAACAAAAGACCACCTACAACACACTGCCAGGCCTTGGACAGGAGAATGGAAATTCAAAAAACAAGTCATAGACTTCAAAGAGTTTGGACATGGCTCTTGAGGAGTGACAGGCATTGGAGGCCACACTGATAGAGGTTAGCTCTAAGGATGTGGAATTGTGCTGAGCAGGGAGCTCCTGGATGGGAGACATAGCATGCTGCTGAGCCCTCTGGTTTCCAGCAGACCTACCCTCTGTGTCTAGCCATTTGTTAGACTCTTAGGTACAAGCTCTCTGCCCTCAAGGTCAAGTATAATTGAGGGTTGGGATAAACAGCAAAACATAAGTCCATGGAAAAGTCATCAGTGACACCTGTACCCTTCTGAGAAAGTCAGAAACTCTTTTTTGCCAGATTATGAAAGCCCTTTGAGACCAGAACACTGCTGACCTTTCTAGCTTGGTCTTCTGCTATCTGTCATAATAGTTCTTTGACCCTTCTTCTCCCAGAGCTGAAATAAACTATTTGGAGCTGCAGAAGGTGTGCCAATGGGATGTCATTCTGCCTTGGTGTAGGACAGTCCCAATGTTCAGAAGACCTCCACTTATTTGACAGATGAAGTCCTCCCCATCCCTTCTAAGCACGCACAACCTTCCCTCCTCGGAGACACTTTTTTTTCACTCTACCTGTTCCTTACCTGGAGATAATTGGACCTCCTTTGCTCTTATACTACATCTTCTATATAGTCATACCATAAGGTCATTTTTGCCTACTTATCAGTCACATTTGAAGTTTCTTGGAGGCAGAGATCTTGTCCTATTTATTTCTGTATTCCTGGTACTGGGTTCTAGGGGCTGTGATTTGTGAGCAAATGACTGAGCAACGGAAGTTCTAGAAGATGTGAAGGCCTGCATGGTCACAAGGACAAGGTATTACTAAAAAGGATCTTTGAAAGATGGGAAGGAGCTTGGTAGGAAAGAAGAGGAACTTTCTAATGTGCAAAGACTCACCAGGGGACAGAAGACTGGCCTAGATATTGGGAAAGACTGGAAAGGGGAAGGGATCCTATTATTTATTGAACATTTTCTGTGAGTCTTCAACTGTATGGGGAATTCTACAGACATTCTCATTTAATATTGACCAAACTTTATTATTATTATTATCTTCCAGTTGAAAGATTTCGTGACTTTCTTTAAGGTTATACAGCAAGTAATTGAAAAGAAGAGGGTCCCGCATAGAGTCTCACTTTTTTTTTGGGGGGGGGGGATCAAAACCAAGACATTACACATGCTAGGAAAGCACTTAACTCAGCTACACCCCCCAGAGCTCCTGAAGTCTGATTTTAAAGCCCACCTTCTCTCTGTACCTACTAGAGAAAAATGTCTTTACCAGACCCCACAATTCTACCTTGCACAAGCATAATATGTTGTTAATCTCCTGCTATAAAAATTATAGGTTTTTTTCCAGTTCCTCCATTGAGCCCCATATTGTCACTGCTATCAAAAAGCCACTGGACCCTGCCCACTGAGGCATATTTTTAACCAGCACAGAGGCCCCTGAGTTATTTTGTTGGAAGATTCAATAAGATGCAGAAGCTCAAGAAGTAGAGGTTAACAGATAAAATTTACATCAGGTTTCTTAATTAAAACAAAGATCTGTATCAACCTTTGGTCTAATTTTGGTAATTTACAGTTAAACACTGAAAATTAAAAATCAATACATTTTATTGCTTACAATCTCTATATCTAAATTTAAAACATTGCTATTTGTAACTAGAAATTGTGTTTCCTTCATTCATTCAACTGAATATGCCTTAAAATAATATTCTGATTTTTTTTCATTGGGAAAAAAAAAAAGCCATTGGAGATGGTGGTGTAGCTCAGTGGCAAAGCATATGCAAGGCCTGGGTTTAATTGCCAGTAATAAATAGATAAATAAATTAATAGGGGCTGGGGTTGTGGCTCAGCAGTAGAGAGCTTGCCTAGCATGTGCAAGGACCTGGGTTCGATCCTTAACACCACATAAAAATAAATAAACAAAATAAAGGTATCGTGTAGAACTAAAAAAATAAATATTTTAAAAATAAGCAAACAAATAAACCAACCAACCACTGGAGCTTTGGCTCCTCACTGACTATAATTCTGGGTTCTTGAAGGACCCAGGGCTCTAGGAGCACAGTTCTGATGTTATATTCTCTTCTATCTCCCCATGAAGGTAATGTTCTCAATGATGGAAAAATCTTCATCAATATGTGTAACTATATCCAGCCTTGGGAAAACGTGTCCATGGCGCAGAGACAGAGTCTGAATCACCACTACCTTTTCAACTGTGACTGCGAAGTGAGGGGGGTCCATTTCTAAGACGATCTGGGGTGGGTGAGGGTCTTAAGCCTTGTAGACTCACCCTTCAGGATTCTTTCCTTCATGTATTTATTTATTTATCAATCATATTCTACTTGAAATATGGCATGGATCAGACACTGCATGAAGTTGGCGGTGAAAAAGCAAGAAAGAGTCCATAGTCCCTGACCTCAAAGAACTTAACATTTTGGTTGGTAGAGTGGTCATCATATAAAGCAGAATGAGATGACTTTACCACAGCCATTATTTAGAGAGAGCCTACTTTTTGCTGGACCCTATAGTAGTCAATTTATTTTAAATATTTAATTTGGTCTCCGTAACACATTTGTAAAGAAATAAGACTTCCATTTTAAGGTAAAGAAATTAAAGCTCTGGGAAGTGAAGTACTTGTTCAAGGTCAGTGGTAGATTCCAGAAATATTAGAGAGGTAACACTTACACAAGGAGCATGGAGCAGGAGAACTCAGGGGAATAGTGGGGACGAGGAAAGGCTTCATAAAACACAGGTGGGGTGCAGTCGAAAAGGGCTGGGAGGATATGTTGGGGTCTGACAGCAGCAACAGAAGAGGAAGGGCCTCTTCCTCACTCTGATGTTGTGGTTATGACTCTAGGTTACCATCTGCTACTCACTGACCTGTAATAAATCGATGCGCAATCAGTGTCTCTGGACAGACTGGCTGTTGGAACGGAAGCTCTATGGGAACCAGGCCCACCATTTTTTCTGCAAGAAGAATGAGGATGGCACCTGCAAATGGCAGCTGGTACAACACCACCCCAATAGGGAGGAGTTTGTTGACGTCATCGAGCCTTAGTAAAGACCAGTGACCACCACAGCCTTTCGAGAGACCTGAAGACCAATCCTTCACTGGAACTCTGTTACCATCTACCCTGTTGCTGCCAGCCAATGGGAAGTGCCAAGTGGAAGGCCTTACCAACATCATGGCAGGGATGGGGAACATTACTCTTGTGTCTAAGAGCCTAGTCCATAACCTGGGAAGGTAGCATGACTTTTTTTGTCCTGACCTCATTCCTTCTCTCCTTCCTCCCAACCCCTACCCGCAATAGTTTAATCTATTATTGAAAGTTTTGATCTGGTTTAGTTTATTTTCCAAGACCAAGACTAATTCCTTTTCTCCCCAGGAAAATAAGTGTTGTTTACCTTAAATTATCTGATGGGGAGAAACAGTGAATGTTAGACCTATGAAATGGTGCAGCCCTGTGATGTATAACAACAGAAGATGGGCTGACCACAGTGGTAATGAAATGAACAACACTATGGCTATGTGTCCTCTACTCCTACTAACTCCATTCATCCTAATCCTCTCATGTACTCTCATCTACTTAGGGGACCCAAAATCACTCTTGTGTGAGAGCTAAACAGCCTCACCTTCCTCTCTGTGCGGCAATCCCCTTGACACCATTCCTGGCAGAAGATCCTAGCACACCTCTGGATAGGAGGAGACTTGCTGTCTAGGAATGAATACTTTCCCTCCAGGTTAACTATTCCTGGTTCCCTCAGCTGATGTCCAGAGGCTGTCCCTTCTGCCTCTTTAAGGTTACTAATGTCTTCATTCCTACTTCAGGACTTTAAATTTTTTTTTTTTTAATTTTTCTTAGTTGTAGATGGACTTTTATTTTATTCATTTATCTTTATGTAGTACTAAGGATTGAACCCAGTGCCTTTTTTTCTTTTTTTTAAGCCAAAAGGCCTTTCTCTTGCAGAGTGGAAATTACCCCTTGATCAGCTTTTGAAATCCTGAGAGATGACCTCCTAGGTGCATATTTCAGGATAAGAGGATAGGAGAGAAATATCACAAGGACCCTGGGGAAAAGAGGAGGAATACATCCTGCACTTAATGTAATTTTCTTCCCCATTGGTCAGCCCTGCTAGATGTTATAGCAGGAAAAAATTGCTTTGATCCTCAGAGACTTCCTTCATTGCCTGCCTCCTCATTGTGTCCTAGACTACCTGAGATTTCCAGCCTTGGCCCCTCAGGGTTCCTCAGGCCTTCTGCAAACCTTCCTGGCTTGCCTTAAATGGGAAAATCCTCATATTAACCTCTAGGATTTATTTAGGGCAAGGGTTTAAAATTCCAGAGCCTCTCCCTGAGGAAGTTCTGGTGAAGATGATGTTGGACATAGTTCTTTTCAAGGTCCGAGCTCCTCTCCCTCCAGCCCCAAATCTCCCATATGTGTGGTCTGCTGGGTAAGCAGGGATATGTACAATGTTCTAGGAGAAGGCTCAGGATTCATAGAAATGCGGCAAATGGCGATTCCTTTTGGGGGAAGGAATAGGAGGGTGAACAACATGGTCTTTGTCCCAGAGCACAATACTTGCAAGCCTTTGGCAGCTAGTTTCCACTGGTGGGTTAAGCAGGATCACATCTGATCACACCAGCCTTGGGCAGAGGGTGTGGACAGTAAGGAAGATGGGAGCTTGGGCTCCAGGCTCTGCTGGAGGAAAAACCTTAGTCACAGCCTTCTATGGACAAAACATCCCATCTCGCTGATTTTTCTGACCTCCTAGGTTGGACTCAGAAAAAGCACAGGGTTAGCCCAGCTTTATCCCAATTGGAGGAAGCCAAGGGAATGGAAGTCTGGTGAATAATACAAGAGCAACAGCTTATATCTAAGGAGAGCTTCACGCTTTATCAGAAAGCTATTACTACGAGACTCTTTGTACCTATCGTGTTAGACATCCAGGTCAGGGATAGTTTTGCCCCCCTGGGTGGTTGGAAAACTGACACAAGAGTGAGGAAATGTAACTTGCAGAGATACCTGGCAGAGCCAGAGATACAACTCCAAGTAGTGAGATCTTCTGATTGTTGGTCCACAGGTTCGTTACTCCCTTAGATTTATTAAACTGCCCTTGTTGCTGTTATTTCCTATTCTGTCTCCAGAATTTAAAAACAAGAGGTTGTTGGCCAAAATCCAGTTACTATAGCTCCACAAAGTGACTTGATAGTTCCATTCCAGTGGAATCTTTGGGGTTGAGATGGTGAGATCCATGTGGTTAATTAAGCTCAGAGGGCAAACAGCAGACTCAGTCCCTACTTAGCACCTACCATCTCTTTGTGGTTGGGGTAGTATGTTTGCTCAATGAGTGGGAACTTGTCTCCTCCAAGTGTCTTGTAGATGGCCACCATCTGGGCAAACTGCAAAAGAGAAGAAAACATTTCAGCTTACTTAGGACAACTTCTGGAACAGGGGGACAAAGCATCAATCCATGAAACAAATACTGAGCACTTTCTCTACTGAAGGCTTTGTGCTAAGCACATTGAAGACATAAGTGAACATCTAATTTCTGTTCTCAAGGAACATACGCTTTAGTTGGGGAAGGGAAAGAGAGAGAGAGAGAGAGCGCACAAGCACTTTCATTGAGCACTTATTCAGTTTTAATGGTATTTCATTTAATCCATATCAAACTGATGAATTAGGTGTCTTATCTTTATTTTATGTGCACAACACAGAGGGGGTAAGAAACTGAACTAAAATCCCAGGACTGAAAAGAGGTGATTCTAGGATTGAATCTTGGGTCTCTTAACTGAAAATACCTGCTTATCTGACCAATAGACCAGGAAAAAGCTAGAGAGGTTATAGGGCCAATTCTTAGAAGTTCAAGTGTCAGTCAAAAGAATGGAAGTTTTTTCATGGAGCTGTATGGAGTCCCCAGAATTTGGCAGAGAATGTCAAGAATAAAGCTATTCTTTAGAAAGATTTAGATGGTTATGATGTGTAGGATAGATCGGCCTAGTCTTTCTGGGACTGACTAACCCAAGAACTCAACTTGCTGGACCTTTCCCCTTTGAGAAATGGGATAGCTTCAAGGGGCAGAGGCAGAGTATATATATGGTGTCAGGGTTAAAGGGCTTTTGGCACCCAGCCAGCACCCCTCTCCCGTTTATAAATGAAGAAACTCAGGTGCAACAAGTCACTTGCCCAGTTGTTTAGTTGTTGAGCAGAGTTACAGCCAGGGCCCTTAATTACCAACCTCTAACTCTCCCAGTTCCTTCAAGTAATTGCCTATCAGGCTCTGCAGAGACCACGCTCTCCCCACAGGAGACCCAGGACTTTCCTGTCCAGCCAAGACCCCCATGTATGAGCAACAGGGCAAAGCTTCTCTCTAGCACTATGGGATTAGTTCATACTCCAAGCCACCAGTATCTAGAACAGCTAGAATGGAAAGTTGTCTGATCAAAATTAGCTTCTACTTATCAGAAAGAAAAGCTAGGACAATTTTTAAAAGCTCAGGTGATACTCTCTATAAGGAAGGGATGCTGGCCCACAAGCCAGGCAGAGGAAAAGGGGTTAGAGTAGCAAGAGCTCAGCCAGGTTATTAGAAAATTGGAGTCTTCTAGTTCTTGTTCTTCCTCCTAACTTGCTAGATATCTCTAGACAAGAGATTACTTCTCATTTTCTTCACATATAAAATGAGAGGGTTAAATTTGATCAGTTCCTCAAATTCTGTACCACATAGAATATCCCTTTATTAGATTTCCTCCCACACTCCACTAAATAACTGCAGTTTAAGTAATCATCTGTTGTAGCAGATGATTTTATGGGCAAAGATATTATTTTTGAAATGGTAGAAAATATTGGAATTCCTGGGCCACACCCTCTGGTGACACATAATTGGTGACTCCGGAGCTCTAAGGTCTCTAGGACTGAAAGCGAGATTCATAAACTCTCATTAAACAAGATTTTATTGCTGAAAAAGACTTCATGTTCTCCAGACCAGACCTCCTGCTTCACAAATGAGGTGAAGCAGGGGAAGGTGGAGGCTGGAATGGGGGTTTCCCTAGGGGAGGGCCCAGGACTCTTCCCTGTGCCAAGTACAACCCTCCATTGTACCTGCTGCTCTCCTCTTTATTCTTCAGTTTGCACTGAATGTCAAGACTGTCTCCTCAGACCTATTTTCTTCTCTGATTCTCCCCACAATCTCATCTGCCTGCCCACATGGGCCCAGCTAGTCTCCTGCTCTGCCTGGACTCTTGAGGCTCTGCAGCGTCCCCAGGGAGCTGATGCCAGCTCTGCCTAACAACCTCTGTCCTGCTGCAGCCCACGCTCTGGCAAGGTACTAAGGCATGTGGGGCCCTATCTGCCCCGCATGTGGGGGAGTTACACAGATACCACACGGATGCCAGGAAGGCCTGCGGCAGACTCTCAGGGCCCTAGGACAGCCAAGACCAAAATGACAGCCAGTTCCCAGGCTCTAGCTGGGTCCCAGGGAGCTCACTCCACCCTCCTCACCTGATTTCCAGCAGTCCCTGTCTGCTCAAGCTACTAGGCTTGGCATCTAACCTCTGCCTCCCTGGAAACTTAGAGAAAGTCACAGGTACACGGTTACCAACTAAACAAATATAATATCTGATAAGGGCTATTTCCTCTATGCACAATAGAAGAGTGAATTTGGGAGCTGGGGTGCTATTGGCAATGAATAGGAAGAAATTCTCAGTATAACCAATTACTCAATGAAGCAAGAAAGAATTCATGGAAGAAATGAGATTTCAAGATCCGTGTAAATAATATGTTATCCTTATCTCTCCTGGAACTTAAATGCTTTTAACTTGACCTTGCTTCATCTGTCACTAAAGAACTCAGAAAGTGGGCTAAGGATGTGGTTCAATGGTAGAGTGCTTGCCTGGCATGTGTGAGGCCCTGGGTTCTATCAATAGCACTGGAGAGAAAAGAAAAGAAGAGAAACAAACCAGAAAGATTGACAGGAATTCTGATAAATTTAGAGCAATAAGGGGTGGTGGCATTCTTACTTTCTCTGGAATGCTTTCATTGAAAGCCTCATTTTTGCTTCTGAAAATCCAGTGGCC